AGATTAAACACAGGTTTTGCAACAGAAGAGGCAATTAATATACTGTAGATGGCTAATGTATGACAAAAAAGAAAGCACATCCTTAATTAAGGATGGTCATAATTTTGTTAATGTGCTATAAGATAAAACAGAATGCACTGTCACTTTCCTCACCTTTTCATTGATGGTTGGGCGGAGCAGCACCAGAACAAATCTGTAAGCTACAACAGGCAGCACACACAGGATGGAGGTGAGGATAATGGTCAGCCAGACATTGGGCTGGTTCAGGGAATTCCTTGCCGTTCCTGACAAGTACAAATCCTCAGACTTACAACGATGAAGGCAAAGTTCAGGAAATCAACATTCAAAAGCCCTTTTAGAAATAGCAAACAAAAACAACTTTGCTATTACAGGTTTTATTAAGCTTCACTAGGACTACAGTGTTATCCTTTTAAAAAGATCTCCAAAAAGAAATATTTCATAGCATTAGCATACATTAGACAAAGTGCATTAATTTCTTTTAATTTCTTAATTTCTTTTGTGCTCTTATATGTAAAACATGTTATAATGTGTTTAAGAATACAAAACTGTCACACTGATTTCTTTTTAAATTCCTTGCTTCTGAATTGTACTAAAAGTAATTACATCAAACAGAACTCATTGCAAAATAAGTTAAAATATTAACAACCGGGTAACTTCAAGAACACTGCTGAGCTTTAAATATAATAAATAAAACAAACAATTAAGGACCAGAATTCTATAAAAGCAAACTCAAACCCTTGATCCAGCATTAAACCTAACCCTAAGGCTAAGAACAATTCACACCCACCTGATGATATTACACATAGGTGTTGGCTTTACTAACATTGCTCTATGATAATTTCTCATTATAAGATCTGCCCCACAAAGACAAGGCAGTTTTATACTCATTTGAAAGCAAGGCTTTGGGTCACTGATTAGAAATATTAGGCATTATCACTGTACCTCTCAGCTGTGAGGTTTCACAGTACTCACCAATGAATGGGAAGGAAGCAGTGAAGATAAGGTACATCCCATTGCTGTACATAGTGAATGTGATGGCAAAGTACACAGCCAGGCTGCCCCAGATGAAAAACTGGTTCACAGCTGTCCAATAAGCTGTGTCCAGGCCAATCTACCATGTGAGAGGAGAAAAGAAAGCTTCCTGCATTATGCTGATTTTGCACAGTTCGTGAACTGCTTTGAAAGCAAATCTTAGATTAAACCGTCAGCTCAAGAAACTATTCATTTTATGCTTAATATTTTGAAGCCTTCGCAAAAGATTGGAACTTTGATTACTGTGTTCGGTTTTGACTGCTTTAACTCGGCTGCCTTTTAACCTGCAATTGTCAAAATGCCCTAATTTCTTCTAAAACACAGATTTTACCATGAGAAAACACCAGCTTAAAATAAGGGTACAGTAGTTTAGTAAAACACACAAGATCAAGTAAGAAAAAAAATTGTACAGAGGCAGCTGAGATAACAAATATAGATCTGGTGCAGTCAGGAACGTGGATCTTGATGACACAGCACAAGCAGAGGTGGAGGAAAGAGACAGGGTGTCTAACCTGGATGCTGACAGCAATCAGCAGGCAGGTCTGCGCCAACAACGCGAACGACTGGTAGTCGGCTATGTCCTTGCCGTCATCGCGCACGGTGTCATACATCGCACCATAGGGGATGAAGAAGAGCACCAAGGAGCTGTAGATGCTGTGGAGGACACACTTCACAAAGGCCCCCTTGCTGAAGTACATGTTGAGCTGCCCTGGCTCGTAGAGCTGAGGATACTGCAAGCTCCAGCGATCATTCAC